GTGTGTGTGTGTGTGTGTGTGTCTGCCACGGCACTTATTCTTTTGTGTTAGAGCTGCTGAATTACATATTAGTCTCCCAGCTGTTTTATAAGTTCCCCAGAGCAGAAATCATACCTGTATCCTTGATAGGACTGATATGGTGTGTATTCAATAAAATGCTCATTGAATCAAGCTCCGTATGCTTCTTTCTTTCCCTCTTTTGACCTTTTGTTGTTGCTGTTGTGTAATATACTACAAAAGAGTAATAAAATATATATGAGGAGTTTAAAATGCAGCTTTAAAATTGTGTACCCACCACCTACCTTAAACAGACTCTTGTCAGTGTCTTCGAAACCCAGTGTGCGCCTACTCACTCACACAGCCTTCCCTACACTGCCCTCTCCTACAGATTAACACTCTCCCAAATTTTATATTACTGATTTCCCATGTAGTTTTACTGCATATTTGTGTCTCTGAACAGTGATGTTCATTTTGTCTGTTTTTAAATTTTTGTTTAAATGGAATCACTGCGTGTGTTCTTCTGACTTGCTTTTTTCCTTCAACATTATGTTCTGGAGATAAACTCATGTTGTGTGAAGCCTGAGCTTATTCGTTTTCAACATTATATGGAATTTCAGTGTATTAGTAAACAGTGTTTTGTTTGTCCATGTTATTCTGAATGGGCATTTGGGCTGTGTACATTTAGGGTCGGTTATGAACAGCACTGCTATGTACATTCTTGCCAGTATCTCCTGGCAAAGACGTGCAGAAGCTCCTACAGACTGTATAACTGTGAGTGGAATTGCTGGATCGGAGCGTGTGCATTTGTTGGGGTTTAACGTGTAATGCCAAGTTCTTGTCCAAAGTGACCGCACCAGTATACACTGTCCCCTGCGGTGGACAGTGTACTGTACAGGGACAGAGGGGACTGACCCTGCTGTAGTCCTCGGTGCTTGGTATTGTCCGAGTTGTTCATTTTCACCTGTCTAGTGGGTATGAAATGGTAGCTCCTGGTTTTAATTTTCGCTTTCCTGATTACTAATGGAGTTGCTTATCTTTTCACATGTTTGTTGCCATTTACATTTCATTTTGTGTGAAATGCCTATTTTTGTTGCCAGCCCAGTTGTCTCAGTGCCACCTAATTAATGGATTTTTGTTCCCTCACTGATATGCAATACCAGCATTATCATAAATCAAGCTTCCATACATGTGCCAAATGGGTGGCTTTCTGTCCTAGCCCCTTTTGGTCTGTTTGTCCATCTGGGGGGAAATACCATACCATCTTCATAATGAGTCTTGATACCTATAGGTCCTCTTCCCCTCCTGGTGCCTTGTGTGACTGGTGTCATTTGTTATTTCAGGAAATAAAAGAAGGTTATGTAGAGGGATGCTCTGATTACTAGGCCAGCTTTCTTCTTTTTTTTTTTTCATTTACAAATTTTAAAGTTCAAATTGTTACCCACTTACCCCACTTCAAACACAAAACATAATCTTTTCTTTGACATTTACAATATGTTTAGCCTTTTGACCTAGCCATACACTTATCATTATTCTAATCGAAGTACAATAGATATTTAAACACTCTTTTTGTTCTTTCCCTTCATCTCATCCTCACAAATAGAATCCAAAAGTCTCACACTTTAAAAAATGTACTTGGTTTGTTTGCTTCTGGGCAACCAAAAGGAGTAAATTTGGTTTTCCTGACGCTCGTACGTGCGCTGGAATGACCGTTTCCTTCCCAGGCCTGATCCCTCCAGCCCCTGTGAGGTTCTCCTTCAGGATGCCTGGTTCTTAGCACCTGCCCTGACTGCCGAAGCCGTGGCTCTCTGTCTCCGGGTAACCTTGTTTTCATTTTGTCAATCTCCCTGTTAGCTGCTGCCTGTGAGTTTGTGGACATCGTGGAGCTGCTGCTCCAGTCTGGCGCCGACCCCATGCTCCGAGACCAGGACGGCTGCCTGCCGGCGGAGGTGACAGGCTGCAAGGCCGTGTCGCTGGTGCTGCAGCAGCACACCGCGGGCGAGGCTTGATCAGAAGGCCGGAAAGCCACAGCCTGCAGCAGCACGGGGCTCCGGCGATGGAAGAAAACTGCGGAAATAATACTCCTTTCACCACCCATCTTTGGTGTACACGGCTAATAAAGTCAGTTCTGAGGAACGGGGGTTTTGAAGGCTCAGCGATTCATTCTCCTTGCATACGTTCCGGCGAGTACAGTTTTGTTGATGGACATGTGTGCTGTGCATAATGCAGTTCAATTCTGCTGAGCGTGCTCTGAAATTCATCACTGCTCTCGATGGTGGGCGGGGGAGGAGATGCATCGTATTTCACAATATTAAACATGGCTGCTCTTTTAAGAAACATGCAGCAGCGAAATATGACCGGCGGTGCTACACTGGCAGTGAGGCAAAGTTTCATGACACCCCAGCCCGCTGGGGACCACCAGGTGATCTCGTGGCATTCTGTGCTGTGGGTCTCTGAGCAGGGAGACGCAATTGGGAAGATAGAATAGAAGAGGGGTGTGAAGAAAAAGAAAGCAAAAGAGAGAAAGGACAGAATTTTGTCACACAGGGATACAGAAGTCAGAGGAGCAACCAGAAATACTAAAACCTTCAACATTTTAGAATATGATTCAGCAACCTCACTCTAAGGTTAAAATAAACAGATCCTGGAAAATTCACGAGTTAGGTCAGATTCCTTACACTTACCTTCACAAAAAGAAGAGGATTTTCTCTAGGGCCCTTCTAATTGGCTCTAAGGCCCCTGTCGCATGTGGAGCAGTCTGTATACGAGCGCAGGCCTGAACTGTTAGGCTTGTTTGGGTCTAATATGAAATAGCTGTAATGCCCCAATACTTAGGTGTGAGAGAAGTTATTTCCGGATACCGGGAAAGCTTCAATTTTTTGTTAAAAACATCGACAGGTACGTCACAATTTTTATTTAAAGGACAGACAAGTATGCCACTGTTGAAACTGGCTCCCTACATTTTCCCCTTTGAGCCTCAAGAACTCCATCCGGGGAATTCCTTGACATTTCTCATTATGTAAGGAAAGTGGATAGTTGCCACAGGAAAAGAAATGAAGTAAGAAGTAAGTTGCGATGCAAAGATGACGATTTAAAAGATAATTTTTCTAGCGTGTCACTATTAAGGTAACAAGCGATAAAGTTGCTTAGTGGAGCCCTCAACAACGGACATGATTTTTCAGTAGCGTGAACTAGCCTGTGCTCCTGGGACAGACCCCTTCAGAGCAGAAATGAGACATAGGAATGCTGCTTACTTTCCAACCCAACTCCTTCTTTTCTGAGATGTAAACCAAACCATTACCACGACTGTTCACTTTTTAACTGTCCGTGGAAGTGATGTGCATGGTAGTACATGCCAAAATGTTACCGTAATTCTCATAGAGCTTTCTCTTCATTATCTCGTCCTTTCCCACAACCCAGCTACATTGCAACCTACCATGTAGCTAAACTCTCATGCTCCACATTGATTGAGTGTGTTTTATGAAATATTATTCATTAGTTACAATAAGAGTGACCAAGATGTTACTGCAACTTTTAATTGATAGTACAGTTGACCTTGAACCTGTGTTGACAGGTGTGAACTGTGCAGGTCCACTTACATGTGAATTTTTTTTTCAGTAAATACTGTAAATGTACTTTCTCTTCCTTATGATTTTCTTAATAACATTTTCTTTTCTCTAGCTTACTTTCTTGCAAGAATATAGTCTATAATACATATAACATAAAAATATGTGTTAATTGACTGTTTATGTTATCAGTAAGGTTTCTGGTCAACAGTAGGCTATTAGTATTTAAGTTTTTTTGGGGGGGAGGTCAAAGTTATACTCATATTTTCAATCACATGGGGCAGTTGGCACCCCTAACCCCCGCATTGTTCAAGGGTCAACTGTACTCAGTGCATTTTTAGGACATTTGCAAATCAACAAATGTTTATTCATTTCAGATTCACAGGTCGTTTATCTGAGCAAGAAGCTATCAAGGAACTCCTTTTTTCATCGCTCTTTTGTAATTTGATCTTGGTATTTCTTAGACAAGTTTTTATAACCTGTTTTGCAATATCTAAAACTACACAGATAATTTTTCAGCAAAAAAAAACAAACAAACTTGTTTTTTATTTTAAAGATTACAAATTTACATTCAAAGCTTTCGCTAAAAGTAGTCATTAACTTAACATTTCTCAAGTGCATTTTAAAATCAGTTTTCAAAATCTCTATTCTTTTGTCACCAGTATCTGACTTTTCAAAAACCTTACTATCCTAGAACAATCTGTGTGATTTAAGGGGAAGATTTCATCCATCAGTGTCAGAGGAAACTAGATCTTGGTTTGTTTTCGTTCCCCTGAAATAGTTGAATTATGTAGCACATCGCACATTGCCAGACCATAAGTTGCCAAAGCTGCAGTAGTTCCCACCAAGCAAAAAACTCAAATTTGCTGGCACAGAAAGCCTGTTAACTTCCAGCTCCTGGTAAATCGTGTTTTCATGTAGTTCCACAGGCTAAAATGAGAACATGCTTCACTGTAGTGTAAGTTTGTTTCTGCTATACACACATTTTCTTTCTTGGTCAGATTAGTAATGTTTAAGCCAATTAGTGTTTTAAAATATCATAGGAAACCTTTTTCTGAAGGTTCATTTCTGGTCATGATTCAATAAGAACTTCAAAATTATTGTTCAGCTTTTTTTTTTAATGCTTACTGGGGTTGGAATTCCGTTTACCTCATTCTTTTTTTTTTTAAGATTTTTATTGGGGAATTGGGGGATGGGAGCAGTGTTAGGGAATTGGGGGAGGGGAACAGCCAAGTTGTTGTCCTTAAATCTTAGTTGTAGAGGGCGCAGCAAGCTCGCTCCAAGTCCAGTTGAGCCGCGAAGCTCAAGGTGTTGTGTTCAATTAGTTGCAGGTGGGCATAGCCACCATCCCATGTGGGAGTTGAACAGGCAGCCTTGTTGTTAAGAGCACGCACTCTAGCCCCTGAGCCACCCGGGCAGCAGCTCAGCTCAGGGTGCCAAGTTCAGTCTTTAGTTGCGGGTGGGCATAGCCCACCATCTCAAACAGGCAACTTTGTTGTTAGGAGCATGTGCTCTCATCAGCGGAGCCATCCTGTCACCTGTTGGCAGCTCAGCGGCAGCTCAGCTCGGGCGCGGCTCACTGGCCCATGTGGGAATCAAACCGGCAACCCTGTTGCTCAGACCTTGTGCCGTTAACCAACTAAGCCACCCAGGTGGCCCCAGTTTACCTCATTCTTGATTCAAACTCTCTGATTTGTTATTTTTAGTGAACATGAGTATTTTAAAAATCGAGTTGCCGCTGTGTTCGCAAACTGGAAACCAGTTGGGTTGGAAGAGCCATAATCAGTTGAATTGTGGATACCTAAAGACATTTGTCAGCGTTGTGAGCAGTTACCTTTGGCTACTTTACCACCTGCATTTTCAAGACTGTCTATATATTGCCTTTCTACTCTGACCTCATTCTCAATTCCACATTTATTTTATGGTCTTGTCCTCCTGCCACCTCTGTAGATGTGTGTTTACACATAAAAACATACCTAGACCCATTTTCCTATGTCCTTAAAAAAGAAAAAAATATATAAATGTGTTGCTTTGTTTGTTTGTTTCCTGAACAACACTAATGGCTCTCTCTCAACTGAATATTTATTCATGACTGTCGTTTACTTTGCCCTCTGCCAACTGATCTACAAGGCCCCGATTGCCTCACGAGTACTCCTGATGCAAGTGAAAAATGAGGACTAAAAAGAGAATCGTGTAAAGAGACATCAAAGTATCCGAATCACTGTTCTCTTCAGAACTCTTGCTTGAGTCTAAGATGTCCATGAGTGCCCTTACCTCCTGGGGAGTTGTGTAAGGACTGCCAGCCCCTTCCTGTAGAACACAGTGTTGTACGTGGAATTTTGAAGCATTCACAGCTCTCCTGAAACCCTTCTGTGGACTCCACAGGGGTCTGTGCATACCATTTATAACCCTTTGTTCTAGCTCCTTGTCGCACTATTTTTTTTTAAGATTTTTATTGGGGAATTGGGAGGTGGGAACAGCGCTGGGGAATTGGGGGAAGGGGAACAGACAAGTTGCTGTC